TCAATACGCTTACCGTAGCACGTAGCTCACCTCATCAGTCTGATGTGCAGATAGTGCAGTGCCCGTAGGAAGTATTTAGAGCCGTTCATTTTGATTGACACTGATGGCTAAAACATATACTATTGTCAAATTATCCATTCAGTCCAAAGATCATTTAAAAGATAACTATGAAATCTGAGGAAAAATACTTCCAGAATTAGCAGCTTCTATCACTTCACAAGTCCACCTGACATCAAAGCATCAAATCATATTGTAAAGTATTGAGAGAGGCATCAGAGCAGCTCATTGGGTATAATGTTCATCATTTTAGATAGTAAATAGTAAAAAGTTGTTATATCAGCACACATTCATTAGATTTATCCCACAACTGTTACTGTTATTAGTAATGTACAAACTTAATACTTTACCAGTGTCAGAGTACTAGTACTACAGTGTGTCAGTATAATGAAGTGATATTCACACAACAATCCTACAGAAAAACACCTTCAAGATTTCCCAATCTGTTGCCTGATGTGTTTGACACCAGGCCTCAGTGAAATTGACCTTTGCAGGCAACCGTTTTATTCTACATAAAAACAGCATTCAAAAAGTGAAACATGAATGTGGGCAGTGGACATGATTCAAAGAAGAACCAGTCTGAGAGAGCGAGTACGTGATGTTTCTGACTGTGTGGGTGAGCTGCTTCTGCTTTCGTCTTATGAGAGTTCAGATTTAGCTAGAGCTAATGAATAATTACAAACTGATCACATTGTTGTTTTCATTCATCCTGCATCTCACAGATAGTGAGAAACAAAAACATTCCAAACATTCTGAAGAATTTGCAGCAAATGTGAAAGCAGTAGAGGCGCACAATGCAAACTTATTTCCTGGGTGTATACATGTACTGTATGTGTATAACTGTATTATTTCTTTTATTTTCTGTTATTCTGTGAATTTAATTATCTTTTTCTATGTGTGTAGCAGGAAGGAACTGCAAACTCTCATTTTGTTATTGGTTAATCAGCAGTGTAAGAAAATATAAAAAAATTGCGCACTGTGATTGACTAACTGACGGCTAGGATGTTGTGTGACTGTGATAAATGCAGATCCAGCTGTTCTGGTTGCATGAAAAAACACATTAGATTTAAAAATAAAATCATAAAATATTGTCTTGCTTACAGTATCGCAACATATCGCAATATATTGAATCGTAACCCCTGTATCATGATTAACAGCCCCAGCACACATAAATATGCGGTCTTTAAGGCAAGTATCAAAGACAGACTTAAGATTGTTAAGGGAGGTGACAATTGAGAAATTTTTGTTTTATTAGCATGGGGTCTTCTTTGTAGTTTCATTTATAAGAGAAGCCAACTCATTTACAATCCCAAAAAGCCAGAAAAAGTAAAGTATAATTAAGTAATATTAAATTACCCCAAATGTTTCCAACAATGTTCAAAGAATAGAAAGAGAAATTCATAATTTTATTCATGTAACGCTGCATTTCCTGGCTTGCTTCTAGTTGCTATAACTCCCAGGTAAACACTGGATACTTAGGATATGTCAGAGAGTGAGGAAGCAAGTTGGCGACCATGGTTAAACGTGAATAAAACTTTAATACATTACCTCCTGGTAATGGTAGTTGTGTAACAGTGAAGACAACAACTCCAATCATCCCACACTACTTTACAAAATAATTAATTGTTAATTGTTTGTACTTGAGCGACCCACTAGTGGCGAAACGACATTCTGTCAGTTAACTGTTTGTTCCCTGTGTTGCTGCTGTTTGTTGCAGAAGCCTGGGTTGTTGCAGCGAGTGTGTCGACTGGCTCTTCCCCTGTGGCTCCTCTTCCTGGCTTTGCTCCTCCTCGCCTTCCTGCTGCCCCTCATGGACGAAGGCAACAGCTGCTCACTCACCAACAACTTTGCCCGTTCCTTCAACATCATGCTCCGTTACGACGGACCGCCACCTACATAGGAAACCTCTGAACAGCGCAGGATAGAGTAAGGTCCCACATTACCCTGCCCTTTGCAGTGTGACCGTAACAGACCACAAACAGGACCACCAGGCTGTGCAGCTGCAAAGTCTATGTTCCGTTGAAACAAATCTTATAGTCATCTCACTAGTAGACACGTTTTCCTCCTTACTATCATCTCTACCAGGACGCACCACAATCTATGAAGGAAATTGCAAGGTAGAGTAGCATGCACATCTACAAACGACAAATCCCACATCCTCTCAATCCTTCTAGATCCTTCTTTACTCTGATTCTACGCATTCTGGACTACAGTGTCGGCTCTACCAAACCTCACATCCCATGGCCCATGCATCTTTGCAGCTTAAAAATCATGATCTGTCAAACTACTAGGACTACAAATCCCATGCTCATTCTGAGAATTTCAAATAGACTATAGAAGCTTTAATATCTGTAAACCAAAGTCATCTTTTGCATGCCTTCCTAACAGTTTAAATATGGTTGTCAGCTTTTGTCTAATGAAGACTTAATTCTGATCATTTCAACGTTGAATAAGTTTACTAATAATCACCAAGAGACCAAAATCCTATAATCAGTGCTTGATAGAAGTCACGAAACAGCAGCCTGATTTTTGTCTTGTTCTAATGAGACCTTTTTCATGTGTAATGATTTTTACTACCAAATGATTCCGTTTAAACGAGAAATGATTGCGGTTATAATAAAACACATAATATAACTGAAACTTTCTCATTAGTACACAAAACCAACGATTCTTGTTAAAAGAAGAGCATTTTTCATTACAATGATATTTCAACTTGTCTCATTAGACAAGAAACTCTTAGGTAAGGTAATATATGTTTTACACCATGATAACTTGGTATGTTGTTCTGACATGAAACTTCCATTTGTTGTTAAAACAAGAAAAACATCCACTCCTTTTCTACCAAAAGAGAACTGGCTCCATTCTGGTTCAAGCATCTACTTTTGAACTGTTCGGAGCCCTTTGACCAAAACTAAATTGGTTTGGAACACAGAAAGTTGGTTCCAAGTTAGAACCAATAAATGGTTTTCCTTGGGAACCAAAGTGGGCGTGTCATATTCAGCAGGTCATTGTTAGAAAACAGAGACAGTGTCTTAGCGTTTTTAACAACATGGAAGATTCCTGTTATAACAAGATACAATGGGAAGAACAAGAAAGGGTTTGTGATAACAGATAAAATGACACGTTAGAAAAAAGAAAAAAGTTTCTTGTTAAAGCAATTTTTTGATAAGTAAGTTATTGTAATGTGAAAATATCCTAATCATTATAATGAGAAGTTCAGCAGATACCATACTATGCATGGGGTGAGAGATGATAAGCCAAAGTCAACAGGTCCATGAATACGAATGTGGAACATGTACATGTATAAGATCCAATTTAAAGCCTACAGCACCAGCAGTGGATACTTTGTAAACAACAACTGGCAGTATATATCACACCCTCCATGTGTTCTAGTGGTCCGGATCAGAAAACCAGGATAGGAACATAGACTCCAGTTAGACTTCCTCTGCCTTAGATAAAGCAACTCTTCTGCTAATGTTGTGCATGTGATATGTAGCAATGTTAAATAGTTAGTTTGTAAAGTACTGCACAGTGTAGCCTAATATTTGAAAAAGATTTTAAGGGCAAAAGTTGATGTTGTGTGTTTTTAGTATTAGAGCATCAAATGAACAAGGACTGTCACTGTGTGTTCACACTGAGAGCTTCTTGGCTAATGCTAATCCTTCTCTTCTGACTGAGCAGTGAGACAGAAGCTGCAGTTAGCATCATTTTCAGCATCATGATGTTGACTTCAATCATTTTACTGATTTAATGCGTCAGCATAGCTAGCAGTCAGTTCGCAATCAGGTTACGCCACCTCCGTGCTGCTGTTCTGCTAGTAGCCGTGTTTCCATCATCGACATATAAAAGATGTCTCCACTTCCTCCCACTGTACAAAAAGAAAGCCCCAAATATCCTGGATACAGCCACTGCCATCTTCCACTGGTTGGTTCATCAAGATTAGCAGAATTTTGCTGTTCCCATCAGCTAATGCCATACTTTTTTTAAAACTGAGGTGCCATGAAGTAGCGTATTAGCACAGGTATCATCCTCCACAATAACAGTTTCTCCCTTATCCATCATATCCAGCATCCTCTTCATTCTCTGACTGTCTTTAGTCTGTCAAGCTGGCGATGCTTAACCCACGGCGGCCTCTGGGAAATGGTGTTTTATAAAGGAGAAATATTAAATCAACAATATTACATTCTTTTTTAAAATGTATTTAACCTGTCTTATGTACCCAGTTTTCCTTTGTTCTTTCTGTGTACAACCATCTCATGAGAGCTAGATTTCTTTTCTGAAGGTGCTATTTTGGCTCAAACACAGCGATCTCTCTTTTTCACAGCGTAAACCACCAGTGAAAACGGTTAGAAAACTGTCCACCATGGCCCCTGACATTTTCTTGGACCACAGTGCGCTCTTGATGCCAATGCCCAAGCTGTAAACTTTAGCAATCACCTCTTTTTTTTGTACAAACCCAAAATAACTTCCAATTGCTTTTTTATATCCTGCATTCTCGCTCTTTTCACACCACGCACACCCCTTAAAATGCCTAAACACCTCCAAACACCCTCACTTACACAGTTACTTTCCCCATTTTTGGCTGAGTTTGTGTGTTATTGAATTGTCATGTTGCCGCGGCAACAGTGTCCAAATCAGGTTCATCTGTTATGTCTTCTTATACAGCAAGTGTTTGTTTGCTGTAACTACAAAAGTACTCCAGTGTGTTTCTAATACAATTGTAAATTCAGCTTTTGTTTGGGAATGGAGGAGCTTGATTTGAAAGATGTTACATTTCAGCACTAAATCAATCAGCTGGTAGTTTATATCGTCAGAATCAACACAAAATGAAAGGTCCATTGTTTTGGCTTCAACTACTCGAGCACAAAAATAATGGATGTAGTTGAAGAAAACAACGGTCAGATTGCCACCAGATTAGATTAGAACACGTACACTGACGGAAATCCCACTGGTGTGTATGGCAAAACATTATTTATTTTGATGATTACTTCTTATGTGTATATTTGCTACATGTAGCATCACATGTTATTGAAGAGTTATCATGGCCTTAAAGCTTTATGTATACCTTTATGCCATAACCACATGTATTTAGTCAGTGTGTAGTTTTGTAAGGCACTTAAAGCCAATGTACTGTATAACAGCTATATAACCAAGTTAAATATAAGGTTTAGTCCTGTCGTGTGGTAATGCTGCATTGTATGTTGAATGAATAATTAGTACTGCTGCTTACTGCACTGTTCTTGTATTATGCATGTGTCCCCTTAGAGAAGCCTATGCAATGCCTGACTCAAACCTGCATTATCGTGTGCCCATTGATACCTTATGCAACATATGAATCTCCTGAGCACAACTGGTTCTTTAGCTGCAGTGTGTCAGAATAGTTTGAGTACAATTGTTAAGCAAAAATGTCCTAAATGCCAGTGTCGGCTCTCAGATCGAGGTATTCAGTATGAAAATGCACAGGTAATGATTGACAAGTGAGAGCTTTTTTTTCTAAAAGGATACAATTCTATTTTATTAACGTTTTGAAACAGAGGAGAAAGCTTCATATTATTCAAGAGAGCTTGTATTTAACCACTGTTTTTTTATTCTGATGAAATAAAAATGCAATTGAAATAGTAAGTGGTTGAGTCTATTGTTTTTGTGTGATTTGTTTCAGGATGAAAGAATTGAGAGACAAAACACATCGCTGATATTTTATGGGATTTGATAACAATGCCAAAAATGTACAATAACACCAGCCTTATCATTTAACAGCAAAATACAGAGATCATCCATCACCTCTTGTTTACTGGCTGCCTAATATATCCCACCCACTGACAGGTGTCAGTCACTTTACCTGTCAGTGCTCATAATGTTATAGCTGATCGGTGTATGTGATTATGCTTATTAATGCTGATTATGCTAATTGCTCAACATATGCAAGTTAGCATCTGGCAGTATCTAAATGCTGCCATACTGTACATTTCTTACATAAAACTTTGGTAGTCAACATCTCTGGGTTCACAATTGGGAAATACTGGCTGGCAAATACTCTCCCTCCCTACACTCAACAGCATTTAGACCACAGACATTCTTTTAGAACAGTCTGCTGCTTGAGTCAGATGGTCAATATTTGTTGCCTCAATATAAGTCAGGAAGCTGATAAACCAGTCAAACCCCAGTGTACTGCATAAAGCCCTGATTTCCTTCATGTGTGATTTGATGTATCCTGTTACTTCCTCCTGCTACTATAGTCCACTTTCTCCAGAGACATCCTTACATTTTCATCATCTAATCTACATGCCTGTGTAAGTGAGTGTTTGTGCTTCCATTCCATGTGGGTGCGTTTGTGTGTGTGTTTGCAGCCTCCTACGCTGCTCTCACCTCAGCCTCCCAGCCAGGCCCACGAGCTGTGCTGCAATCTGGAGCTCACACTCTGCCAAATACGTGGGACAAAAAATATCAGAGCAGCCTCTCTCCCAAAGAAGGTTCCAGTCCTCGTCAATCTGCAAGATATTAGCAGAGAAATCTTTTTTTAATAAAGCAATAAACACTGTAAAGCATAGTCATAAAAAAAGAAACAAGAAAAACATTGGATTAGGTGGAGGGCAGCTCTAATTTCAACATTATGATCGTAGTCCAACAAAATAATTATCAACATATAATTATCATGGGACAGATGTGGATATGGTGTCGGCGTATAAGTACTTGGGTGTCACACTGGACAACAAACTGGACTGGTCGACAAATACAGAGGCCATCTACAAGAA